CTCCTCCCCGTACCTCGACTACACCGGAGCAGCCTACGCCCAGTACTCAGCCGCAGCTGCCAGCGCCGCGGCCGCCGCTGCCTATGAGCAGTACCCGTACGCAGCCTCCCCGGCCCCTGCAGGCTACATGGCTGCAGCAGGGTATGGGTATGCGGTCCAGCAGCCCCTAGCAGCCGCAGCCACCCCAGGAGCAGCCGCTGCAGCTGCAGCCTTCGCCCAGTACCAGCCCCAGCAGCTTCAGGCAGACCGCATGCAGTAACCAACCACAACAACTACTATTACTGAGCCTGGTTAACAGAAGAGGGGGAGGCTATAGAGAGGAGGGGGGAGGTCGTACTCACCCCCAGGACACTATAAGGGGAGAGGTGGGGGGGGGAGTGGTTGTCAATCCTTGGCTTTAGAACATGCAGCGCTGCTACCAAAAGAGCCTGAAGAAAATCATCTCATAACTGAAGAGAATAGTTACTTTATTATTCAAATATCATCAGTGTTGTCATCACTAAAGTACTGTTTTTTTGTTGTCATTATATCAGAAATATTTAATATTTATTAATCAGGACAAATATCTAGAATTATTATTTAAGATATGACCTCATAACCAACCTTTAAGTTTAAGTTAATCATTTTAAGCATATTTAATGTGTAGTAAATTAAATGTGTGATTTTGTACAACCTTCACAAGTGCACTCAAGTCTAATCAGGTATTTTCCCCTCAAATTTCTTAACAACGCAGATGGTCAAACCAAAAACATAGTATGGAATGATCACTTTTCACCTTTAATACTTTTGGACCTGTATTTTGAACTATGCAATTTGAACTTTTAAAAGATATTTAGTCAAATAGGTCTTCTACAAATATATATATATAATGTTACTATAATAATGTTTGTACCTATGCAAAACAGTGACCTAGAGGAGTGATGTTAGCTGTCTGTCCTGTGTTACTATGGGGTCAGATCAGATCCAGTGGGGGCAGGAGAGAAGAGAACAGCTACTGGCCTGAAGCTGAAGTTGGGGGACAGCTTTTCTCAACGTGCCTTAAAATATTGGTATTTGGAAAATATTTATTTAGGTAGCTTTTAATTAGAAAATACCGTTTTGCACCCTTTAGTTAGTATCAGGGAGTAGGACTGTATTGAATAAATAATGTGTGTTCATGTTATATTAGTTTCATGTTCACCTGAGTTATTCAAATTGTAATTGTGAGGTATTTACTGTAGCTACAATGATCATTTGGATTTGTATAAAAACAAAATATAATGGCATGAAGTATACCTTTTCTATCTATACAACTATTTTCTTGTTATTTTGTAGATATCTTTATCTTTCTAATGTGTTTGGACAATGAAAGAGAGATGTTACAGCATAAACTATTAGCAAAACATTATAATACTTTATATCCTAAATAACGCAGTTCTTTTTTTTTTTCATAGCTGTGATTTTGTTATTAACTTTGTGAGATTTACTCTTTTACAATGTTGGGAACTTTTTATACTTGAACTGTTTCATACAAAGGAATATGTTAACAAACGCTATATCTTTTTAATAAGAGTACTTGAATGTCACTGGACATAAACTATCAAGTCTCTCAGAGATTCCAGTACAATATTCTGTTAATCTTGCCTTTTGAAATGTGCTGTTCTGCAAATAAAATCATTCATTTAATTAGATTAAATAAACAACCTTTTAGCTACTTATATTCGTATTGTAGTTTTTACATAATTACACAACTGACAGAAAGCAGTTCACTGTAAATCAACCAAGTCTCACCTACTGGGGCACATCTTTCTGTCAAACACAATCAACACCTCATCAGTATGATCTCTTATTTAGAAGAAACCTTGCCTTGCCTTATCATGGGTAACATATTGGAGTTGCAAGGTAGGTAGGTCATACAATTTACATAGATTAAGTCCAATGACATGTGAATGACACAGTCGGGTGAGAGACTCTTTAGAGGGAAACAGCTATGCACTGATCCAGTCAGCCTATGCGTCCCAAATGGCACCCTATTCCCTATATAGTGCACTACTTTTGACCAGAGCCCTATGGGCCCTGGTCCAAAGTAGTGCACTGTATAGGATATAGGGTGCCATTTGGGAAGCACCCAATGTTATAGAGTTTGGACACAGCTGAAGATGGGGACAGGTGGGAAAATACGTTAACTTCCAAAGAACGTACCAACTGTAGGAAATACTACTCTGCTCTTAACCATCAGACCATCTCTGGCTACGTGTGTCAGGTCTGAACAATGGTGAACTGTAGTCTCTTCCAAAATGTTTCTCTTCAAAGATTATTCTAAGACTCAATTCTAAATGTAACTTAAATGAATTCAGGTGAGTCAGTGTCTAGTTCATTTCTATGTGGAATTCGAATGTATTAGTTTGCCAGTTTGGTTGCTGTCCATGGTGCTATAGTACCGTGCTGTTCATGACACTGCTGCTTAGGTGAGATATGATTGGCCAGACAATCAAAACAAACTAAAACAAGGAAGAGGAAGCTGAACTAGACGTCTTGTATTATTACTTCACTGGAAAATCGGAAGAAAAAATAAACTAGGTTGGTGTGCTCTAGTCTAAACATTAGCTCTCCAACTTGAGAGATTCTGAGTCTTGTTGATTACATGATCCTCCTCTCTCTTGTTAATAATGTAGATCACCTCTGAAACATGAACCTGCTAAGTTCCTAGAATTGTAAGTATATGAACTCTCTCCCCTGCTGTGTGCGTCCCAAACTGCACCCTACAGTATTCCCTATATAGGTCCCTGGTTAAAAGGGAAAAGGGAAAAGGGTGCCATTTGGGACACTAGCCTGATTCCTCAACCCTTCCTAGAAGAGTCCTTGGTCTGCCAACTTGCAGCCACAAGTCTCTCTGACAGCCTCAACTCTCAACTGAGTATTTCATCAAAACATATCAGTTCACCAATGTAAAATACATACCACATCATCATTACCATATCCTGATGATAAACATCCAAGCTTCAATTCTATTAACACAAATCTACATAATGAAGTACACTTTACTGTATACAGAAACACTTTTTAATGGGGCTTTGATTGCATTCATGGTATTGAATCCTATGAGATAGTTGATTGGTTGTGCGGTGTTCCAACATGACATACCCTGCTGTGGTCAGTCAGGAAGAGCATCCAAAGGTTAGTGGTGTGTGTGTGTGTGTGTGTGTGTGTGTGTGTGTGTGTGTGTGTGTGTGTGTGTGTGTGAGTGCGTGCGTGTGTGTGTGTGTGGATAGCAACCAGACAGGAACAGATGAGGCTGCAAAACCTGCGATGTGACCAGTCAGACAGACAGAGAGGATCCTGGGAACTCTCTTTCCCCAGTTTCCACCTGTTTGGAATCCTTTTGAATTCCAGGCAAACAGGAACTTCAATATGGGAGTACAGTTGATAGAGCTTAGCTAAGACCACTTATGGCCACGTAAGCTTTACCATTCATCTGACAGTTTCAGTGGAATAAAGGACATGGTATGTAGTGTTCTATCTGCATTTAAGAGTTACAATACGATACATACATTACTGTTCATTTTCATGGAGATACATTTTGTGAGGCCAAGAGTTGGTCACGCTTGTCCCCATTTTACAACAGCTGAACCCTATTAGGCAGACAGACAGCTGCAGAATGTCACCTGTCAGGCCTCAGTGTCTGAGTGTGTGCAGGCACGGTGGGGACAGGTGGTGGCCTACAGGTCCTCCTCAGTGGAAGGAGCATAGTATAGACAGAGGACTCCTCTTTATATCTGTGCCATATTAGTGTCTGTGACAGCATGGGCAGCACCAATGAGGCTACAACCCATAGGAATCCCCACCCAGTTGACTACTTTGACTACTTTAAAATGGTGGAAGCATGGTGGAAGCCCTCAATGGTGCTGCCCATTCTAACGCTGCCTTCTGTCCACTAAAGGCCTCTATCATTCTCTATGGGAAGGAGGAACAACAAAAGCCCTCTTGTGTTTCGTAAACAAGACCCTTGAAAGTGTCTCCATTTCTCCCTTCTGATCAATGTGAGAAAGAGTTAGACTAGTTCAGTGTCCTTCAATTAGACTAAATGCTAAGCTGGTGGTCAGTTCATTGAATCAGGTGTGTTAATACTGGGCTAGAACAATCAAGCCTGCACCCTGACGCCAAGACTGGGATTGATTGAAGAACACAGAGTTGTAGTTGATTGGAGAACACAGAGTTGTAGGCGAGAGAGCTGAGGTCTGTGTGTGTGTGTGTGTTCAGATGTGACATGCTAGTGGACTTTTGGCTCACTTTTACTTAAAAAATAAAAAATACTTAACAAGGCACTATAATTTATTAATCCTCATTAATAAACAAAAAACGTATTACTGAAAGTACTTGTTGTTAAAGGCCCAGTGCAGTCAAAAACGCGATTTTCCTGTGTTGGAATAATACTGTGAAATTGTGAAAATAATGATAATACTCTTTTAGTGTAAGAGCTGATTGAAAAGACGGCCTGATATTTCAGCCTGTTGTGTTGGAATGGAATTTTGGCCTGCCTGGTGACATCACCAGGTGGTAAATTAGTTAATAGAACAATAAGGAGAGTTCCAAACCTCTCTGCCAAAAACAGCTAGTTTTAATTTCCCTGCTACCCACTCAGACCATTCCCAGACAGTCCTAGCAAAATTCTTGCTTGAGAAATTGCTCTTTGCTAAGAAGCTATTTGTGTTTCTTTTTGACCATTTTAATTGAAAACAATCACAGTAAGGTACTTAATTGTTACCCATAAATTATTTCATATTGAAAAACGGCTGCATTGGACCTTTAACGTTCGATATCAAGATATATTATTTACTCAACAAAATTACGTTTCGTTTTCGGCAGGCTATATTTGTTCCGCTAAGTCCTGTGTTACATATTTAATTTCCAAAACGTCATGCGCTCCCCTTGAGGCACGTCATTTGGCCCTGCTGCCGCCAGATGGCGCTATTACACATTGTCTTTTGTCATTGGCACGGAAGGAGTAATAGCGCCATCTGGCGGCAGCAGGGCCAACAGTGGGCCACAGTTCATCCGAGAAATGACGTGCCTCAAGGGGAGCGCATGACGTTTTGGAAATTAAATATGTAACACAGGACTTAGCGGAACAAATATAGCCTGCCGAAATGTTCTTCTTTCCTTTAAAGCTATTCAGGTGACTATCTTTCAAACTGGGAGCGACTTGGTAAACGCTTACGGAAAACTTGCTAACTTCACCCGCGGACAATTCCGGTATGTGAGTCTGAGTTGTTTGTTCTAACTGTTGCAGTGGGATTTTCACATAATGAGTAGTTTTTATTTTATTTTTTAAACTGCCTGTTATAGTTTTTCCACTTATACAAAACAACGACGGTTGTCTATGGCGCAGTAATAGTTATTCACAGACGTAGAGTCGGCTAAACTGATCCTAGATCTGAGCTCATGAATCTTGTTACAGTAGCCCACTGCCAGTGACTGTTATTCTTGGGGGAAGGGTGCAATTGCGGCCCGCAATTCGGGGCGTTCCTGCATCTGCAGGACTCTCTCTTTATACACTATATATACAAAAGTATGTGGACACCCCTTTGCATGGCTGTGTGCTCAATTTTATACACCTGTCAGCAACAGGCATAGACAAACATTGGCAGTAGAATGGCCTTACTGAAGAGCTCAGTGACTTCCAAAGTGGCACATCATAGGATGCCACCTTTCCAACAAGTAAGTTGGTCAAATTTCTACCCTGCTAGAGCTGCCCCGGTCAACTGTGAGTGCTGTTATCGTGAAGTGAAAACATCTAGGAGCAACAACGGCTCAGCCGCGAAGTGGAAGGCCACACAAGCTCACAGAACGGGACCGCCGAGTGCTGAAGCGCGTAAAAATCGTCTGTCCTCGGTGGCAACACTCACTACAGACTTCCAAACTGCCTCTGGAAGCAGCAACGTCAGCAGAATAACTGTTCCTCGGGAGCTTCATGAAGTGGGTTTCCATGGCCGAGCAGCCGCACACAAGCCTAAGATCATCATGCGCAATGCAAAGCGTCGGCTAGAGTGGTGTAAAGCTCGCCGCCGTCGGAGATCTGGAGCAGTGGAAACGCATTCTCTGAAGTGATGAATCACACTTCACCATCTGGCAGTCCGACGGACGAATCTGGGTTAGGCGGATGCCAGGAGAACACTACCTGCCCGAATGCATAGTGCCAACTGGGTATTATTATTATTATTATTTATTATAAAGTTTGGTGGAGGAATAGTGGTCTGGGGCTGTTTCATGGTTTGGGCTAGGCCCCTTAGTTCCAGTGAAGGGAAGTCTTAACACTACAGCATAAAATGACATTCTAGACATTGCCAGACCTCACTAATGCTTGTGGATGTGAATGGAAGCAAGTCCCTGCAGCAATGTTCCAACATCTACTGGAAAGCCTTCCCAGAAGAGTGGAGGCTGTTATAGCAGCAAAGGGGGACCAACTCCATATTAATGCCCATGATTTTGGAATGAGATGTCCGACGAGCAGGTGTCCACATACTTTTGGTAATGTAGTGTACTTCTAATGGTCAATTTTTAAGAAGGACTCCGGGACAGAGGCGGGGTGCTCCAGTACAGTAAGTGGTGGTAACGCACCATAACGTTGTATGCCAACCGTTGATAAACCCCACAGAAGAAGAGGCGGGGGCGATAACGCCGGTAGCTAGCTAGCTAGGCGAACGGTAGACAGTGTCAGTGTCCTTCGCCTGTCGGTGACTGTTTTCCCAGAGTGCTGTTAACGACGGCGAGGGCAGGCGTTAGCGAAGCCTAAGGACACTGGGTACTAGCTAGTTAGCTAGATAGGTATGACTCCGGTACACGTCAGGCGGGATTGGTAGCTAGCTAGCTAACGATAGCTAGGACTCTGGTACACAGCAGGCGGGGGGCGACACCGGTAGCTAGTGATGATACTTTATAATCCCGGAGCTCCGAGCCATGCGTCAAAATCGCTAAGCAGCTAACTTCGAAGCAGTGTGCCGAAGCATGTATCACTTTATCAGAAGTACGTCATCATCAATGACGTCCGAAGCTTCGTTTGATCATGTGCTTTTTCAAACCGTGTGTTGCAAAATGCGAGATCCCACTGATTAGTCGTTGTTGCGGCGCTTTCTTCTATTCTAAGCCGCATTCAAACACTGACCTCTACAGGACACCGTACTTACAAATATAGTTAGGATTTTGTACAAAAAGTTTCACCTGACTGGTAGTTTAGCAGGTAGAGTATGGAACATTCAGGGCCGTGAGGGTCTGGGGTCGAAACCCGTTGAAGGAACACTATTAAGAAAAAGATATATGTGAAAACACACTTTCTGCACAGTTCAAATAATTTGTTTTATTTAGTATAATATACGTTTCTGTCTTAAGCATCCTAAATAATGCCATAGATTCCGTTTTTGAAAATAGTAATTTTGAAGGCAAAAAAGGGAAGCATGATGTGAACGTGGTATTCCAACTGATTATAGGCTACTAAACCAACGATTTACTGCTGCACCACGGAGATTTGCTGAAAACAGTGGAGAAAAAAACGTTTCTGATAATCATACCGCTATTTATTGCTGAACAGCAGATGTTACTAATGTGCATTGTGAACAGATAATGAAGCTCCCAGTAATGAACCCTTTTTCTGCACAATTTGGTGAAAGTGGCGAAGCCTTCAGAAAGCTTTGATTTCCCATCACCACTGGTAGCTAGCTGGTTAGGATACCGGCACAGATGGAACCAGGGTTGCCAGGTATAGCTAAAATGTATAGTCCAATGACCTCTGAAAACCCGCCCACATGGCCTGAAAACTAGCCCTCCCAAGAAATTTCAGCATGAGAGGAGTTGCCACATTTATCCAATAAACCCTTTTCCCATAAAGTTACCATGGCTTTCAACCAATCAGCATTCAGGGCTCAAACCACCCAGTTTATAATTGTAAATAAATCCTGTTTGCGCATGTGCATAACTATAGATAAATCCGACAGAAGAGTTTGAGTGATGAATATTGGACAGAGGATCTCAATCTCTGTGCATTAAACACTTGGACGAACTTCAAAAAATGAATGTTGGGCAATTTTCTGGCAAATGTGCAGTTACTAGGTGCCAGATGTTAAGACTACAAACCGTTATAAATGGCCAATTTGCGAGATTGACTTGTTATTTCAAGAACTGAGCATGAGTAAAACCCTTCGCTTGATACGGTTTTCCATAAGAAAGTCGACATTAGAATGCAGTTTACTTTAAACCACCTCTGAGCGAATTTATCTGAAGAGCTCTATTGCGCCTAAAGTCGTTTTCCAATGCTTTGTCGCCGTTATATCAGTTCTAGCGCGTTAATGTTTTATGGAAAAAGGGTGCCTCCATAATGACCAATCTAAATAGCCTACCTACAACTATGATTAATTTCCCCCATTGGAAACGACAGGCTCTGGTCTATTTTGGGTTACTTATCACAATATTTGATACCGGCAGACAGTGTCCTTCGCCCCAGAAAAATTCTGATAATACTTTTATTTCCCTTTTGACCCACATTTTAATCGCATAGACAATCAGGGGAAATCCAGAATATCAAGTGTCACACAAGCATGAAGATGGCGTGCTCGAGGGGGGCCGTTTATGCAGGAACCAATGGAATGCTCGCATGGGAGGCGTTCCTGCAGATGCAGAAATGCCTATATGGATGAACGCCCCGAATTGCGGGCCCCAATTACACACTATTAGAGAATTATTGGGAACAGTCTAAATAAGAGCGGGACAGGGAGGGATACTTCAAAGTAGTACCACTGCCCCCGCTCGCTTCCCGTAACCATACTTCATTTTTAGTTACTGATCAACAGTAACTTTATTTTCGTTTATATAATTTTGAGCTCTTCCATTGCAATGAATAACACAATGCTGTTTGTTTATAATCATTGTTCTAATCTAAATAGTTTGCTGAATCATGGCTCTCTCACAGTTATCACAGGGTGGTTAGGGTATCCCCTGCCCCAGTATCTGTACGTTAGAGATGCCTCTGAACTCAGATTCAAACTCCCATTAGACAGCTCTGCAAGCGAGTTTACCAAATAGGGAGTTTCGCTGGGCAGCAATCTTCATTTACTCCCGTTACGGCCTGTATGTACTTCCAAAAAAGGTCTAAATAAAAATACAAGCAAGCGAAAAAAATATTTTTCAGCACCTCCAATGTATTGAGCTGTTGTAGACTTTCTGTGCGTGGCAGTATGAGTGCCGAATATGCATATTTTTTTGTTTGCTTGTACATTTTTATTTAGACCTTTTTTGGAAGTACATACCGGCCGTAATGGGAGTAAATTAACGTAGTTGCTGAGCGACACTCCATATTTGGTGAGTAACGAACGTATTTTGACATAATGCTTGCAGAGCTGTCTAATGGGAGTTTGAATCTGAGCTTCCTGGGCGTTAGAGAGGAGACCCATCATACTCATTGTCGACATCTCTAATGCACAGATACTGGGGTAGGTATCCCCTAGGGATACCAGGATGGACTTTGACCTCCTTTAAAACCCCTTTTTAGATTATATTATGTACTCCTAAGACCTTTACCATCCTAACCTAGTAGGATACCTACTAGGATCCTAACTACCTAGCCGACTAGATGAAAAATCTGTCCATGTGCCCTTGAGCAAGGCACTTAACCCTAATTGCTCCTGTAAATCGCTCTGGATGAGAACTTCTGCTAAATGACTGAAGTGTCAAATGTAACATTTGTTATTTGTCATCCTGTGTCTCTGTCTCTAGTGCCCTGTTTCAGACAAGATCAACACTTGTCCAGACAAGATCAACACTTCTTGAACCCCTCTCCTAGTGAGATAAACAGACCTAGTGATGTCCCAACCTGACAGGAATATCTATTCTCCATTGGAGGGGGGCGTCCAGCCCCCAAATGTAGTCTTTGGGCAGCCAAGCCCCCCAGGATATGAGATGACCTTACCCAACACACAGGGGATGCCTAACTCATTTGGGGGGCCAGGGCCTGCTCCAGGGGGGATGCCCTTCCCCTCGCCTGGGGCATTTGGTCAGCCTATGTACTTCCAGGGTCAGGGGAACCCAGGATATGGCACAGCACCTTACGCTCCCATGCCTGGGGCCTACGGTCAGGGCTTTGACAACCCAAATCATGGTGAGTACTTCAGTATCATTCAGAAGTAATGTGGTGATGGGAATCAAGTTTCAAGTTTTAAAGGAATAGTTCACTCAAACTATCTTTTAGTATTTTACTCATTTGTCCACAAAATTATGCGTGACAGCAGTGCCATTTTCAAGGTGGAGCACTTTCAGTACGGAGCAAAAACTATGTGATTTATCATTCATTAAAAGATAGAAAGGGGCATTTTGAAGTATGTGTGGTCTGATGTGCATTGAGTCTATCTGTCTTTTCTCCCAGACCCAAACACTGATTACAACAGCGATGATCAACCCCTTGCCTATTGTGACAACAGTGCCTTCTCTCTTGGCTCTGGGCTGGACGACAAGACCATACGGCGAGCCTTTATCCGGAAAGTAAGGGACCACAGGGATGCCAAGAGGCTCCAAATCAGGACCTCAAGCAAACTTGAACTAAAGATAAAAGATAAACTTAAGATAAAATGGTTGTACATGCATCTGTATAGCCATCATAACAATCAAACAAAATGGCCTAAAACCATTTTTAAAGAACAATCCCTGAAGTCTATTATAGAACTGTATGGATCCTATATCTAATAGTCTGTCTCCTTGTCCACATACAGGTCTTCATGGTGTTGACCGTCCAGCTGATGGTAACATTCTCCTTTGTGGCTCTCTTCACCTTTGTGGGGGGAATCAAAGTGTTCGTCCAGGCCAACCCATGGACGTACTGGGTGTCCTATGGCATCTTCTTCGTCTCTCTCATCACCATCAGCTGCTGCGGAGAGTTTCGCCGCAAACATCCATGGAACCTGATTGCACTAGTAAGTTAATAAGACCTGTCTCGTTTAAATGGCTGTCATTCCTATAACATAATGATATACTTTATGGGCCAGTTTTCCAAACTCGGATTAAGCCTATACCTGGAATAAAAAGCACGCTCAATGATCAATAGTATTCGTAGCTATACTTTATGGGCCGGTTCTGTATATTTATCAAATTGAAGAAAAATAAAATCATGTCTTATTCACTATAAGCCTGTGTTGATATGTGCACTTCCACATAAACAGTTGTATAAGTATTGTTGAAGTTCTAAAAGAGGTTGTATCACTCTCCTTGCCTCTCGTGTTTCCAGTCCATCCTGACCCTGGCTATGTCCTACATGGTGGGGATGATAGCTAGTTTCTACGACACTGACTCAGTCATCATGGCCGTGGGCATCACTGCTGTTGTCTGCTTCACCGTGGTCATCTTCTCTCTCCAGGTCTGTATCCATCTGGACATCCCTCCCTCCTTCTGTCTGTCTCTGTCTCGCTCTGTTTCTCTATCTCTGTCTGTCTGTCTGTCTCGCTCTGTCTGTCTGTCTGTCTGTCTGTCTGTCTCGCTCTGTTTCTCTATCTCTGTCTGTCTGTCTGTCTCGCTCTGTCTCGCTCTGTCTCGCTCTGTCTGTCTGTCTGTCTCGCTCTGTCTCTCTATGTCTGTCTGTCTGTCTGTCTCTCTCTCTCTCTCTCTGTCATAGGGTTATCAGGGTTGGGGTGTATTCCATCTATATTCCAGTCAATGCCGCAATTAAAGGTAGACTCAGCGAAATGACGTTGCCACAAGTGAGATGCAAGACTTTGCTCCCACACAGTCACACACCGTATCTGTGCATTGGCATGGGTTCACGTCATATCGCTGAGTCTACCTTTAAACAGCATTGCTATGGAATCAAATTGAACTGGAATTGACCCTGCCATCATATATACTGGCTCTACCCTATTCAATGAAGCTAGTGATGATACTGACCCTACTCTGTTCAGTGATGATACTGACCCTACCCTGTTCAGTGATGATACTGACCCTACCCTGTTCAGTGACGATACTGACCCTACCCTGTTCAGTGATGATACTGACCCTACCCTGTTCAGTGATGATACTGACCCTACCCTGTTCAGTGATGATACTGACCCTACCCTGTTCAGTGACGATACTGACCCTACCCTGTTCAGTAATGGTACTGACCCTACCCTGTTCAGTGATGATACTGACCCTACCCTGTTCAGTAATGATACTGACCCTACCCTGTTCAGTGATGATACTGACCCTACCCTGTTCAGTGACGATACTGACCCTACCCTGTTCAGTAATGGTACTGACCCTACCCTGTTCAGTAATGGTACTGACCCTACTCTGTTCAGTAATGGTACTGACCCTACCCTGTTCAGTAATGGTACTGACCCTACCCTGTTCAGTAATGGTACTGACCCTACTCTGTTCAGTAATGGTACTGACCCTACCCTGTTCAGTGATGATACTGACCCTACCCTGTTCAGTGATGATACTGACCCTACCCTGTTCAGTAATGGTACTGACCCTACCCTGTTCAGTGATGATACTGACCCTACCCTGTTCAGTGATGATACTGACCCTACCCTGTTCAGTGATGATACTGACCCTACCCTGTTCAGTGATGATACTGACCCTACCCTGTTCAGTAATGGTACTGACCCTACCCTGTTCAGTGATGGTACTGACCCTACTCTGTTCAGTAATGGTACTGACCCTACTCTGTTCAGTAATGGTACTGACCCTACTCTGTTCAGTGATGATACTGACCCTACTCTGTTCAGTAATGGTACTGACCCTACTCTGCTAGGTGAGGCTAGTGATATTATTATTGATTGATAGGAAATGAGTCACCTCATTGGCTAATAACTAATATGTCCCTTTGACCTTTGGCCTTCATCCTGACCCGACCTCTGACCCCATACAGACAAAGTATGACTTCACTTCCTGTCACGGTGTGCTGTTGGTCTGTCTGATTGTCCTGGTTCTCTTCGGCTTCCTCTGCATCTTCATCCGCAACAAGATCCTGGAACTGGTCTACGCCTCGTTGGGCGCTCTACTCTTCACATGCGTAAGTCCTTGCCACAAATGCCAACCTATTTCCTTTATAGTGCACTACTTTTGACCATAGTACTGCACTGTTTAGGGAATGGTGACATTAGGGACGCATACTAAAATCTCTTTGGCAATGATCTTGATTATCACAGGTGGTGTCTCTTTTCCTGTAGAAACTATACTGGTGGTAGTAGTAGTACAACTATTTAAGTATTCATGCAAGTGTTTTGATGGATGGGTCCTGGTCAAAGTAGTGCACTATATAGGGAACAGGATGCCATTTGGGACACAGTCTTAGTCATTATTTTGCATGTGTTGATCTGTCAGACCAAATCAAGACCATATCTTACTAGACATATTTACATTTACATTTCAGTCATTTAGCAGACGCTCTTATCCAGAGCGACTTACAGTTAGTGCATACATTTTCATACTATCTTGCTAAATAGAATGAGTAGAATGCTAATTGTAATTGTGATAATAGAATGATCATTGTTTTGAATGTGATTGATTCCAGTTCTTGGCTGTGGACACTCAGCTGCTGCTAGGCAACAAGGAGAAGGCCCTGAGTCCAGAGGACTATGTTTTTGCTGCTCTCACCCTGTACACTGACATCATCAACATCTTCCTCTACATCCTGTCTATCGTTGGAAGATCACGGAACTGAGCGCTTCCTCTAAAGGAACCATTGAAGGATGAAGGAGTCTTTTACAGGACTTACTTATCTGTTCCCATATCTAGGACAACACCTGCTACACATTGTTTTATGCGCCAATGTCTAATTTGAACTCTGCTGTCGCCTGTCGTTCTAAATGTGGTTCCCTGTGCTTTAGAGCCGTGGTTCCCAAACTGACTGAGATTGGGAAACCCTGATTTAGCAGATGCAACCTATTTTGCTATTGTGTTACTATTTTTCTTTGCTAATTTTCTTATTTTTTAACTCTGCATTGTTGGGAAAGGACTCGTAAGTAAGCATTTCACGGTAAAGTCTACACCTGTGTATTCGGCGCATGTGACAAATAACATTTGATTTGACTTATTCAGTTCTTTCAATTTAGGTAATAAACAACCACATATCACAGTCATAGCAAGTAACTCTTATTGATAATACTCCCTCATGTTAATTGTGCTCAGTTTTACCACAATCCAGACTGGTTTAAATTGTGTAGTGTGAATAATTAATATTTTGATTCAATTTGTTTTGTGATATTTCTGATGTTTGTGAGTCTTTGCAGCTGTATTTGTTGATAGTTATTCAATTAAAAACTGAATTGTAATCTCGTTGTTTTTTTGTATCAGTGCTGGCGATTACTGGATGCTGCTAAATTGTTTCTAATAGTATATGAATCATGATTATGCACTCTGTCATATGATTATTTTTTAAAAGCCAAAAGCACGAATGTCAGATGTTTGTTAATATATTTTTCAAGACATTTGTGCCTAGTTTTCAGCTTTTCAGTATGGAGAGAAATGGTGTGAGAAATTATTTCCCGTGATGCAATGCAAATTTACAGCGTCTTTTTGTATGACATCATAAAGGAGATCCTATAATTCTATGTTATACGTGTAATTATGACACATGACATAACGGTGTCAAGTTAAATCGAACGTTCTGACTGACACCCTATTGTGATGCTATTGATAACAACCTATTTCATTGGAGGATTTGATTTATAGCACAGACGGAAAGGGTCTGCAAACTGTCGGGTTGTGCCTCAACTGTCTGACCGCCTGAAGTAGGCGCTTGGAGTCGGAGAAGCGTCTGTATGGATATGGATACCGAGGGGGGCGGTGCGTCATTGCGCTTGGAGAATGAGAAACTGCGGCACGAGAATGACGACCTGAAAATAATGCTTGGCCTGATGAAAGAAAACTTTGATCTGAAGTCCAAGCTTCAAACCTCCACTCTAACCAGCGACACTGTCAGGGAATCGACAGGTAACTGTTCAAGTATCGTTTACGCATTGCAATCTCCATCTCCTGTGTGGGTGATGGTGGTGCGTGTGCCGCTCTTTGCCACTAAAGGGCATCCGAGACACGTGACACGTCAGTACAGTTAGCATTAATCGGCAGGGTTGGAAAGGCATTGAAGAAAATTGGAATTGGAGAATTGGATTTGGAATTTCAGTATACATCGTGAATTGAAATGGAATGAATCCCAACTCTGCAAGTCAGTACTGCCATGCAGGTCCTAGCAACAGCACCAGCTAAGATCTTGGACATATAATAATAATAATAGGGGTGGCAGGTAGCCTGGTGGTTAAGCGCTTTGGGCCAGTAACCGAAAGGATGCTGGTTTGAACCCCTGAGCCGACTAGGTGAAAAGTCTGTCTGTGCCCCTGAGCAAGGCACTTAACCCTAATTGCTCATGTAAGTCTGCTAAATGACTAAAATGTAAATAATTTATTCAATTTATTATATAGCTCTATTCATTACATAAAGACATCTCAAAGTGATGTAAAGCAACAACAAAAAACAAGCAATTTAAAAACAACGTTAAGTGCATTAGTTGATCTACTGTCAAGAGACTGAAGGTTGAGAATGTTAATGGTCCCGTTCAATTGCTTAGACGTTGCCAGATCTTAAAACGCCTGTATAGGTATTTTACCTATCGGCTAACCAAATCATATGTTATAACAATCTGGCAGTCGATGACGTGGCAGGCAACCATTGGTTGATGCATGCGACGTCTAAGCAACCCATGGCTTGAGTGAGGTGAGCAGAGGGAGGATGTGGTCAAAGGGGGAGAACATCTACATATATTTGCTTATTATTTTTGCCAGGTCTCGTTTTGTCTCAATTTGTCACCCTTTTTGCATTTAGAATTGATTCTGATTATAATTTCCTACCCCCAGGCAGGAACACAACTATTCAGTGGCAAGACACCGTGGATGAGGACAGATTCAAACATGAGCTGCATCAATCGTCCAAACATCCTCCCAGAACATCTTCCCCAATTAACCTGGAGTCCTACACCAAGCGCTGCATGTGCACAGACCCACGAGAACATGAAGAGACTGCGAGCTATTCTTATGTCATGTCTCAGAAGGTGAAAGGTGTGTGAAATGGTCGTTTGCTCATCACAACTTTGGGCATGATCCTTAGAGATATGTTAGTCAGAAATTGAATCCCCATTTTGTATCAACTGAGCTGATTATGACAATATTGTAATAGCAGAATATAAAAATATTTCTTCAAACCTATTGTGTGTCCCAAATTGCACCCTATTGCCTATATAGTGCATAACTTTTGACTAGGGCCCATAGGGCTCTGGTCAAAAGGAGTGCACTATATAGGAAACAGGGTGCCATTTGGGACGTTATATTTTGTTTAGAATAGAATAGAAACATTTTGTTAAACTACCTGTGGATTCATGTTTATGTTGGTGTAATGTGATCTATTGGAACTAATCCATGCAGATTCAGAGGTTGGTGTTGTAATGGTGTTTATGTTATTGTTCAGATCCAGAACGGTTGGTGGGGGAGATAGCCTTCCAGCTGGATCGAAGGATCCTGTCCTATGTGTTCCAGAGCCAGACCAGACTCTATGGGTTTACTGTGCTCAATATACCAGACAAGATCATTCAGGTGGGAACGGTGTGTGTGTGGATGTGCATCTGTGGTCCTTTACACAAAAGGCTGATATTCCAGTTTTTGAATAATAAGAAAGTTTAACACCATATTCCTTCCTTCTGTCTGCTTGTCACGAGTGTCAGTGTAATGCGGTGGGTCGAAGTCAGGCACAGGACTCAGAACTCAAAGAAAACGTACTTTACTAACAAGTAAAGAAACAAATACAAAGTACCTCCACACAGGGAGGAGCAAACCCGCTCACCAAACGACACACGAAACGAAATAACAAACACGCACAAAACACAATGGGAGCCACCGGGTTAAATAGGGAAGGAGTAATTACGCGATGGGAAACAGGTGTGTGACAATCAGACAACAACAGGTAGAACATAGAAAATAGATCAGCAGTAGCTAGTATTCCGTTGACGACGAACGCCGAAGCCTGCCCGAGCAAAGAGGAGGGGCAGCCTTGGCAGAATCCGTGACAGTACCCCCCCCCCCCCCCCCGACACGCGGCTCCAGCCGTTCGTCGACACCGGCCTCGGGGACGGCCAGGAGGACGTGGCGCGGGGCGAGTCGGATGACTGCGGTGGAAATCCCTCAACATGGAGGGATCGAGGATGTCCCTCCTAGGGACCCAGCACCGTTCCTCCGGACCGTACCACTCCCACTCCACGAGATACTGCAGGCTCCCCACCCGACGCCTTGAATCTAAGATGGAACGGACCGAGTATGCCGGTGCCCCCTCAATGTCCATTGGGGGCGGAGGAACCTCCTGTATCTCAGACTCCTGGAGTGGACCAGCTACCACCGGCCTGAGGAGAGACATGGAACGAGGGGTTAATACGATACTCAGGAGGAAGCTGTAACCTATAACATACCTCGTTCAATCTCCTCAGGACTTTGAATGGCCCCACAAACCGCCGACCCAGCTTCCGGCAGGGCAGGCGAAGGGGCAGATTTCGGGTCGAGAGCCAGACCCGGTCCCCCGGTGCATACACCGGAGCCTCACTGCGGTGGCGGTCGGCGCTCGCCTTTTGCCGCCTGATGACCCGCTGCAGGCGCACATGGGCAGCGTTCCAGGTCTCCTGTGAGCGCCGAAACCATTCATCCACCGCAGGTGCCTCGATCTGGCTCTGATGCCAAGGTGCCAGGACCGGCTGATAACCTAATACACACTGGAAAGGAGTAAGGTTAGTGGAGGAGTGAGTTTTGGGCCATCTCTGCCCAGGGGAGGAAAACCGACCACTCCCCCCGCCGGTCCTGGCAATACGACCTCAGAAACCTACCCACCTCCTGGTTGACTCTCTCCACCTGCCCGTTACTCTCAGGGTGAAACCCTGAGGTCAGGCTGACCGAGACTCCCAGACGTTCCATGAACACCCTCCAGACCCTTGAGGTGAACTGGGAACCCCGATCAGACACTATATCCTCAGGTACCCCATAGTGCCGGAAGACGTGTGTAAATAGGGCCTCAGCAGTCTGTAGGGCCGTAGGGAGACCGGGCAGAGGAATGAGGCAGCAGGACTTAGAAAACCGATCCACAACGACCAGGATCGTGGTGTTCCCTTGTGAGGGGGGAAGATCCGTCACGAAATCCACCGATAGGTGGGACCACGGTCGTTGTGGAACGGGTAGGGGTTGCAGTTTCCCTCTGGGCAGGTGTCTAGGAGCCTTACACTGGGCGCACACCGAACAGGAGCCCCGGATAAATCTCTGGTAGTAGTTGGCAAACCCCCCCCAATTTTTAAAATAAAAAAATCATTTAAAAAAATAAATTAATTGCTGCACTTCCTTCACCGTGGTTGGAGTCGACCAATTACGCACGGCCGAAATGCGGTCACTCTCCATCCTCACCCCAGACGCGGACATGTGGTACCCTAGGAAGGAGATGGACTCCTGAAAGAACAGGCATTTCTCCGCCTTGGCATAAAGGTCATGCTCCAACAGTCATCCAAGCACTTTACGCACCAGGGACACATGCTCGGCCCATCTAGCGGAGTATATGAGAATGTCATCAATATACACCACTACACCTTGTCCGTGCAGATCCCTGAAAATCACATCGACAAAGGATTGGAAGACTGATGGAGCATTCATCAACCCGCATGGCATGACGAGGTACTCATAGTGTCCTGAGGTGGTACTGAATGCCGTCTTCCACTCATCTCCCTCCCGGATACGCACCAGGTTGTACGCGCTCCTGAGATCCAATTTCGTGAAGAAGCGCGCCCTGTGCAATTACTCCGTCATACAAGCTATCAGAGGTAGTGGATAGCTGTACTTGACGGTGATCTGATTAAGACCACAGTAATCAATGCACGGGCGTAACCCACCATCCTTCTTCACGAAAAAGAAACTTGAGGAAACAGGTGAAGTGGAAGTATCCCTGTCTCAGCGATTCGGAGACATATGTTTCCATAGCCGCCTTCTCCTCCTGTGACAGAGGATACACATGACTCCGGGGAAGTGCAGCGCCCACCTGGAGATTTATCGCACAATCCCCCGGACGATGGGGTGGTAATTTAGTCGCCCTCTTTTTACTGAAGGTGAGAGCCAAATCGGCATACTCGGAGGGAATGTGCATGGTGGAGACCTGGTTTGGACTCTCCACTGTAGTAGCCCCTAAGGAAACCCCTACACACCTCCCTGAGCACTGACTGGACCATCCCTTGAGAGCCCTCTGTTGCCATGAAATGGTGGGGTCATGAGTGGTTAACCAGGGAAGTCCCAACACCACAGGATACGCAGGAGAATCAATCAGATAGAGACTAATCCTCTCCTCATGACCCCCCTGCGTCCTCATTAAGAGTGGAGCGGTGACCTCCCTGATTAGGCCTGACCCTAACGGGCGACTATCTAATGCATGTACAGGGAAGGGCACATCAACACGTACAGTGGGAATCCCTAAACTAAGTGAATACTGACGATCAATAAAATTCCCAGCAGCGCCTGAATCTACTAGCGCCTTATGCTGGAAATGAGGAGAAAACTCTGGGAAAACAACCTCAATACACATATGAGCAACAGGGAGCTCTGGGTGAGTCAGGTGCTTACTCACCTGAGACAGTCGACCAGTGCTCTGCCTACTGCCTCGACTCCCTGGGGACCCTCCCCAGCACCGACCAGCAGTGTGTCCTCTGCGGCCACAGTTGGTACAGGGGACGGCCCCTCTCCTGGTCTCACTAAGCGCAGCACCCCCGAGCTCCATGGGGGTAGGGTCGGAGGTGCTGGGGGATGGAATGGACGGGCCCCGATCAGGACATCCGCGGGTTTCCAACAGGTTATCCAGCCTGATGGACATATCCACCAATTTGTCCAGGTTGAAGTTGGTATCCCTGCAGGCCAGTTCCCGACGAACGTCCTCCCTTAGGCTGCATCGATAGTGGTCGATCAGGGCCCTCTCATTCCATCCTGCGCTGGCTGCCAGAGTCCTGAACTCCAGCGCAAAATCCTGCGCGCTCCTCCTCTCCTGTCTTAGGTGGAACAGACGTTCGGTGAAATCCTTGTAGAGGACTGATGTAGCGTCTATACTTCCCCACTCGGCGTTGGCCCACTCGAGGCCTTCCCCGATAGACAGGAGATGAAGGTGGACACGCTCTCGTATCCCGAGGGCGCCGGGTGAATGGTTGCCAGGTAGAGTTCTACCTGGAGAAGAAAACCCTGACACCCGGCTGGTGTACTGTCGTATGCCCTCGGGAGCGAGAGCCGAATCCCACTGGACCCAGGTGGCGAAGGGGTGGACAGTGGTGTGGGTGGTTGAGCGGTTGGAGGAGGTGTAGGAAAGCCACCTCTCTCCCATCGTTCCATAGTATTAACCACTCTCTCCATAGCGGTGCCGAGAGCCTGGATCATGCTCTCCTGTCGTTGGACGCGTTCCTCAATAGATCCAGACAGACTGGCTGTACCTGCTGACTCCATACTGGTGCGTGTCACGAGTGTCAGTGTAATGCGGTGGGTCGAAGTCAGGCACAGGACACAGAACTCAAAGAAAACGTACTTTACTAACAAGTAAAGAAACAAATACAAAGTACCTCCACACAGGGAGGAGCAAACCCGCTCACCAAACGACACACGAAACGAAATAACAAACACGCACAAAACACAATGGGAGCCACCGGGTTAAATAGGGAAGGAGTAATTACACGATGAGAAACAGGTGTGTGACAATCAGACAACAACAGGTAGAACATAGAAACATACAACATAGATCAGCAGTAGCTAGTATTCCGGTGACGACGAATGCCGAAGCCTGCCCAAGCAAGGAGGAGGGGCAGCCTCGGCAGAATCCATGACACTGCTAAGGGATAATAGGCTAGTTTAACACCATATTCCTTCCTTCTGTCTGCTAAGGGATAATAGGCTAGTTTAACACCATATTCCTTCCTTCTGGCTGCTAAGGGATAATAGGCTAGTTTAACACCATATTCCTTCCTTCTGTCTGCTAAGGGATAATAGGCTAGTTTAACACCATATTCCTTCCTTCTGTCTGCTAAGGGATAATAGGCTAGTTTAACACCATATTCCTTCCTTCTGTCTGCTAAGGGATAATAGGCTAGTTTAACACCATATTCCTTCCTTCTGGCTGCTAAGGGATAATAGGCTAGTTTAACAACAGGGTGTGGTGGGGTGCCATGTATTCATTTCAGTGATTCACACATATATGGAATTCAAAGCCTCCAAACTGGTTTCTTCCCACGTCAAAATGGTTTTCCATTTCCTAAGAAGTTAATTGCAAATCTGTTCTAAACAAATGTGTAAGAGAGTTGGATAATGGCATGTACAGTATAACTGAATTAGAAACTCTACAGGCTAATCCCACTCCCATGAGACTGTGACTGCGTCCCTTATGGCATCCTCTAACCTATATAGTGCACTACTTTTGACTGTGTGTGCGTCCCAAATGGCACCCTATTCCAAATGAGCCCTATGTGGGCCCTGGTCAAAAGTAGTGCACTAAATAGGAAATAGGGTGCCATTTGGGACTGACATTTCTGTTTTCACTCAAACTAAAGCCTTGACCCCCTCCCCCCTCATTTCCTCAGGTGTCCACACACCCTCTGACAGGAAAGGTGGACGAGGGCTATCGGCTGCAGCTGTCCCAGCGTCACTCTGAGCTGATGGCCAGGCTGAACCATCTAGGCTATAGTATGACTCTCCACCCCCCCTTCACAGAGTTCATCATCAACACCTATGGCATCCTGAGGCAGAGGCCTGACTCCTACAGCACTCAGGAGCTGGGATACAACAGGTGATGATGAAGCTTCAGGGTACAAGCTCGGCTGTGGTGTCACAGCACACCTTTCCTGCCATCAGGTCGGAGGTATCGGACAATTACTGTAAATGCCGTACTGCATGCTTCGGGAGGAGTTTCATCCCTGCGGGGGGATATCACCATGATTCATTAACAATTCTATGAAGCTTCCTCCTATATGTGCAGGTGTGGCGGGGTGAAGTACTAGGACTTTATGGGACTATTTACTGTTGTTTGTTTCCTGCCATGTTACAATGTGGTTTATGTATGTAATGTGTGGTTTATATATGTAATGTGTGGTTTATGTATGTAATGTGTGGTTTATATGTAATGTGTGGTTTATGTATGTAATGTGTGGTTTATGTATGTAATGTGTGAGCTGTGGTAGGATTTTCCTCTTGTAGGACAATAAACAACAATCTAATCTAAACAGCCCGGACTTCCTGAGGAGAGTAGTGATCAACGCAGCCCCCTCCAAGCTGCTGAAGGATATCCTGCTGCTGTTCAGCTGCCTCTCTTTCATGGCCAGGCAGGACGGCAAGCCCCTCTTCCTCTGGTAGACGGGCTGGGACTAGCTCTTGTCCAGGGCGTTACGTGCAGCTTGCTGACGCTGAGCCTTTTATAAACGTTTAGGACCAAAGCTAGACTGGGACCGCCACAGAGACCACCTCCCTCCACAGCAGAGCAGTCGTCTGTGGAGAGTCAAGCTTTTACACTATAAACAAATGACTCGAACTCAACTCTTAAAGTGTCTACGCTTGTATTGCTTTGGAGACAAGTGCTCTCTCATACAAACTTCACACACCCTCCACAGGGACTCATTCAGACAGGACAGGTCTGCATCTCCTGCATTGGACCGTTTCCTTGTTTAGCCTACAAAGGGGGAGTATTTTTTTTAATTAATATTTTCCGTTCACTTGGTTTGTTGGTTGGTTGCACTGAGGGTGGTTTTGTGAGTTACCTGACATTATATTTCCATATTGAAATGACAGACATGGGAAACATGGACAGAATAAATACTTCCAGGGCTCATTGGGCCCAAAAAAAAAAAAGCATTTCAACAAAGAAAAAGCAGCCTATGTTTAAGTATGCTCATTTTCATATACACCGAACAAAATGTTAACACAACATGTAAAGTGTTGGTCTCATGAGCTGAAAAAAAAAATCCCAGAAATGTTCCATACACACAAAAAGCTTATTTCTCTCAACTTTTGTGCACAAAATTGTTTACATCCCTGTTAGTGAGCATTTATCCTTTGCCTAGATAATGCATCCACCTGACAGGTGTGGCATTTCAAGAAGCTGATTAAACAGCATGATCATTACATTACATTTACATTTTACATTTTAGTCATTTAGCAGATGCTCTTATCCAGAGCGACTTACAGTTAGTGAGTGCATACATTTTTCATACTGGCCCCCCGTGGGAATCAAACCCACAACCCTGGCATTGCAAGCGCCATGCTCTACCAACTGAGCTACAGGAGGCCCTACACATGTGCACCTTGTGCTGGGGACAATAAAAGGCCACTTTAAAATGAGCAGTTTTGTCACACAACAATGCCACAGATGTCTCCAGTTTTGAGGGAGCGTGCAGTTGGCATGCTGACTGCAGGAATGTCCACCAGAGCTGTTGCCAGAGAATTGAATGTTAATTTCTCTACCATAAACTACCACCAACGTCATTTTAGAGAATTTGCCAGCACATCCAACCGGCCTCACAACCTCAGACCATGTGTAACCACGCCAGCCCAGGACCTCCACATTCGGTTTCTTCACCTGCAGGATTGTGGACGTGGGGGTGGGGGATGGGGTGCTGAGGAGTATTTCTGTCTGTAATAAAGCCCTTTTGTGGGGAAAAACTCATTCTGATTGGCTGGGCCTGGCTCCCCAGTGGGTGGGCCTGGCTGCCAATTGGGTGGGCCTATGCCGTCCAAGGCCCATCCATAGCTGCGCCCCTGCCCAGTCTTGTGAAATCCGTAGATTAGGGAGGGTCTAATTAATTTATTTCAGTTGACTGATTTCCTTATATGAACTGTAACTCAGAAATTGTTGCAGTTATATTTTTGTTCAGTATAGTTGCCTTTCAATACGTTCACCTCACTTGTCACTTCAGACGAGAACTCAAACGGTGGGAAATAAGCAGCGTGCATGCCCAGCAAGGGAACAATTACGCAAACTGTCTAGACTAGAGTTGGCTACTCCCCGCGCGGGACAAGTCGTACACCGGTCGCTGGAAATCCTTGTATTCTATTTTATACAAGAATATTGAATGAAAAAATATCCACGGCATGACAAGGCCAACTTAGCTGTAGTTACTGTTACATGTATTTAGACGGATAAATTCACATTTTATGAAGGAAGTGGACTCTTCTATGCAGACAGGTAAGAATGCAGGTGCCTAGCTCATGTTAGCTAACCTAGCTAGCTAGCTAACCAGATAGCTACAGCTGCCTAACTAGATCACCTATCTTAGCTAGCTAGTAGCTAACATTCGTCCACGAACGTGTGGCTATATAAATGAGTAATACGAAATTGGCTTGTTCGTGAATGATACATTGTGCATGTGAGCACCTGCTACCTAGCCCAAATTAGTGAACACTTTCAAACTGGTTGAATTAGCCAGGTAGTACTCCATGTTAGCCGGCTAGCTAGCTAACCAAGTCGCGTCAGTTGTGAGAACAGCATTTGGAGCGAGTCGATAATTTTAAAGTAACAAGCACACACTACAAAAACTTGAGAAGCTATCGATATCACATTATCATTAATGACTAATGTTGATTGGCATGACAGTGTCAGCAGAAATGAGTCCACTCAGGACGGGTGGCGTCATTGTAGGAAGGTGTGGGGATATCTGGAGCCTGTGGACAATTTTGAACGTTGGACCGACCCTAGTAGTATCAATAGTACACATCTGTCGCTATAGCGATTAGTGAATTCGTGCAAATGGTGACGTCTGGATTAACAGTAGTTTGGGTAAAATACCCGTATATTATTCTCCTCTTTCCCTCCTTTGCAACAATGTATGTCTGTCTATCCACCAACCCAGCCCTTCATGTGCGCGCAGCTCAGTAAACCAATGTAATCTGCCTTTCTACTCCAATTGATCGTGTGCACCATGACGCACCAGCTGTCGCCCAGCCCACTTGGGTTGATCCTGGTTTCCTGAACGGGAGTCATTTCCCTGAAAACCACTCACTGGCAAGCACTATTGATTTACCTCACTAGTCGAGCCAGGAAAGGTCAGAAAACACCCTCTACATGTCCTGTCTGTGTGTTGTGTTCTGCGTTTACTTCCAGTAGATTCCAGAGTGTCAGTCAGATGGTGAATAACCAGAGTGAGGTGAGCAGCTGGGAGCCCTGATGCCTGCTCTCCCTATTTGTGTCCAGAGGTGACTGAAGGAGCGAGGCATGGTTCTGCGGGAGTCCCCATTCCCCAACTGCTTTGTGGAGGGCCTCCATGCAGTGGGCTGGGGCCTCATCCTGCCCTGCTTCTGGTTCCTGGACCGCCTCATTGCCGTCTGCATGTCCACCAGCCTGGAACGCACCCAGCGACACGAGCAGGAGTGTTATCTCCACCCTCTCAAGGTCTTCTTCGGCTTCATCCTCTTCCTCGCCCTCTTCCTGGTCACGGCTCCCCTGGCCTTCCTGGGGTTCCTGCTCTGGGCTCCCCTCCAAGCCGCCCGCAGGCCCTTCTCCTACCACCAGGAGCCCCCGTCAAGGCCAGCACCAGCCGATGAGGGGGAGAGGAACCTGGGCTTTGAGGCAGGGGCCAACAAGGCCACTTTTGGCTTTGCCACTGCCAACCTGTGTCTGTTGCCAGACGGCATTGCACGCTTCAACAACCTGGGGCACACGCAGCGCCGTGCCACCGCCATCGGCCGGAGCATCGTGCAGGGTGTGAACCGGCCACACATCCGCATCTTCGTGGACTCCCCCAGCAGCTGTGGCACCCTCAGCCCCTCCAGTAGCCTGCTCCCTGGCCCCTCCACCACCAGCCCTGTCTCATACGGTGCTACAGACCCAGCCTTCCAGCCACCACCCCAGGCTCCTCCTACTGTGAAGGCCCATTCAGACGAGGACCAAGCTGACGGAGCAGTCCCAACAACAACGACGCCCCCCCAAGCCCAGTGACTCAAACTGTGTGGTGTACGTGCCCTGTGACGACACCGAGGACCCTTCCCCTTCTCCTGCCCCTGTCATCAACACCAACCAGAACTCCAACCAGCAGGGCCGGAAGGGCCACAGGAACCCTCCGCGGGCTCTACACACTCAGGGGGTCGCCCAGCGCGGCCAGGCTGGGCAAGACGACGTGCCCTGGGAGGTGTCCTCTCTCTTCCCGGCCAACGTGGACATCCTGTGTCTGGAGGAGGTGTTTGATAAGAGGGCAGCTCTGAAGCTGACCAACACCCTGGGGCCCCTGTTCAACCACATACTGTATGATGTAGGGGTGTACGCCTGGCAGCCTCCCGGCAGCTGCTCCTCCTTCAAGTTCTTCAACAGCGGCCTGTTCCTGGCCAGCCGTTACCCAGTGCTGGAGGCCCAGTACCACTGTTTCCCTAATGGCCGGGGGGAGGATGCCCTGGCTGCTAAAGGCCTGCTCTCTGCCAAGGTACCACTCATCACAGAGATCCTATTACATTACTAGAGGGGATGAGGTCAAAGACCCTCAGAATTCTAGAATGGGCTGATAATGGCAGCCATTTTGATTAAATTAAGGAGAAATCCAGTTCTAATTTGTAATTCTATGCCACTCACTGTCATTATAGCTCTTGTCTTTCTCACCTGCACTTTTTTTTTTTTTTCTGCTTATAATAACTGTGATATGTGTTAGTTTTTTTCCTGCTAACCTTAGTTGAATGCACTGACTGGAGAGCGTCTGTTAAATGACTAAAATGTAAATGTAATGTAATATCTTGTTGCCATTAACGCTCCTACTGTATTGTGTTACTGTTGTCAGTTATTGTATTGATAATAGCCACTCCCTTTTAGTCGTAGGTGAAGTAATGGTTTGTGGGTGTTCCCAGGTGCTAGTTGGCCAGAATCAGAAAGAGAAGAAGCTGGTTGGATATTTTAACTGCACACACCTCCATGCACCTGAAGGCAAGTCATCTTCATTCATTTTTTACTTCATTCAAAATGGCACCTTATTCTCTATTTACAGCACTACTTTTCACAGCTCATTATAATGTAGCTACTACATTGTAGTTACACTGTTTATGCACACCACATTTATATACTGGATTCTTTATATATTGGTATCTACTGCTGTAGTTCAGTGCTTTCAGAAATTATTCAGACCCCTTGACTTTTTCCACATTTTGTTACGTTACAGCCTTATTCTAAAAATTGATTAAATTGTTTTTTCCCCTCATCAATCTACACACAATACCCCATAATGACAAAGCAAAAACAGGTTTTTAGAAAAAGTTGCAAATGTATTACAAATAAAAAAACAGATCACATTTACATAATTATTCAGACCCTTTACTAAGTACTTTGTTGAAGCACCTTTGACAGCGATTACAGCCTCGAGTCTTCTTGGGTATGACGCTACAAGCTTGGCAAAATGTAGTCCCCTGTAGCTCAGTTGGTAGCGCATGGTGCTTGCAACGCCAGGGTTCTGGGTTCGTTTCCCACGCGGACCAGTATGAAAATGTATGCACTCACTAACTGTAAATTGCTCTGGATAAGAGTGTCTGCTAAATGACTAAAATGTAATATAAATGTATTTGGGGAGTTTCTCCCATTCTTCTCTGCAGATCCTCTCAAGCTCTGTCAGGTTGGATGGGGAGCGTTGCTTCACAGCTATGTTCAGGTCTCTCCAAAGATGTTAAATCGGGTTCAAGTCGGGGCTCTGGCTGGGCCACTCAAGGACATTCAGAGACTTGTCCCGAAGCCACTCCTGCGTTGTCTTGGCTGTGTGCATAGGGTCGTTGTCCTGTTGGAAGGTGAACTTTCACCCCAGTCTGAGGTCCTGAGCGCTCTGGAGCAGGTTTTCATCAAGGATCTCTCAGCACTTTGCTCCGTTCATCTTTCCCTCGATCCTGACTAGTCTCCCTGCAGCTGAAAAACATTCCTACAGCATGCTCTACCACCATGCTTCACCGTAGGGATGGTGCCAGGATTCCTCCAAACATGACATTTGGCATTGTGCCCAAAGAGTACAAGTCTTGGTTTCATCAGACCAGAGAACCTTGTTTCACATGGTCTGAGAGTCCTTTAGGTGCCTTTTTGGCAAACTCCAAGCGGGCTGTCATGTGCCTTTTACTGAGGAGTGGCTTCCGTCTGGCCACTCTACCATAAAGGCCTGATTGGTGGAGTGCTGCAGAGATGGTTGTCCTTCTGGAAGGTTCTCCCATCTCCACAGAGGAACTCTGTAGCTCTGTCAGTGACCATCGGGTTCTTGGTCACCTACCTGACCAAGGCCCTTCTCCCCCGATTGCTCAGTTTGGTCGGGCGGCCAGCCCTAGGAAGAGTCTTGGCGGTTCCAAACTTCTTCCATTTAAGAATGATGGAGGCCACTGTTTCTTGGGGACCTTCAATGCTGCAGAAATGTTTTTGTACCCTTCCCCAGATCTGTGCCTTGACACAATCCTGTCTCCGAGCTCTACGGACAATTCCTTCGACCTCATGGCTTGGTTTTTGCTCTGACATGCACTGTCAACTCTGGGACCTTTATATAGACAGGTGTGTGCCTTTCCAAATCATGTCCAATCAATTTAATTTACCACAGGTGGACTCCAATCAAGTTGTAGAAACAGCTCAAGGATGATCAATGGAAACAGGATGCACCTGAGCTCAATTTCGAGTCTCATAGCAAAGGGTCTGAATACTTATGTAAATAAGGTATTTCTGTTTTTTATTTTTAATGAATTTGCAAAAATGTCTAAAAACCTGTTTTTGCTTTGTGATTATGGGGTATTGTGTGTAAAATAAATAATTTAATCAATTTTAGAATAAGGCTGAAACTTAACAAAACGTGGAAAAAGTCAAGGGGTCTGAATACTTTCCGAATGCACTGTATATACTTGATTCTTGACATAGCTAACTATAATATCTACTGATGTGCATATCATTCTTAGTATATATTTTTGCTGTATATACGCACAGATTGCATTTGTTTTCATGATACAGAATTATTTGGTTGTGAGAACGTAAAAACTGAGTAAAGATTCAAACGGACGACTAGAAAAAGCTCAAGCCACGTTTGTTCAATCCACTGGGTGCCTCAGCTGCAAGCACAACATACAAGCACATATCTATACCTTCTGACTAGGAGGCAACTCCTTGTATAACTAAGATAAACAATCCTTCTCTGTTGCTAGGCAGGAACTAAGTATGTTCCTCTTACTGGTGTTGTCATGGCCCTGCATGAGTCTAGAACCTTCATTGGAGCGTGGAAGTGTGTGTGAGATAGGACTGTAGTTAGGTAGTCTTCGGGGTGGGCCCCTCTGGCCCCCCTCCCAGAGGTTTCTTCTCTCTTCAACTGTTGACCTTATTGAGTTGAGTTCCACATCCCTCCTGGTCCTAGTTCCACAGCAACTGGCCTACCTTATCAGGAACTGGGACTAGACTGTTGCTCTGTACCTCCTTCCTTAGAAATATTAATATTCAGCAATAACATGTTTGAATAGACAGAAACTTTCTGCACTTCCCATCGTCTCACTCTTTAACTTTCCACTAACAAAGTTCCTATTCACCCTTCATTGACCCCTAACATATACAGTTCTTATACATGTAAATTACTCAATAAGGTATAATATGATGACAGGAATAATTATATTTCAAGACAGAATCCGACAGTTGTTAATTGGATTTCTTCTAAAATTGTTGATTTGTTTCTAGTTTTCCATTATTTGTGTACTTGTTTGACATTTTACTGCCCTGTTAGGAGCTAGTAACACAAGCATGTCGCTGCACCATCTATAACATCTGCTAAACTGTGTACGTGACCAATAAACTTTGATTTGATTTTGATTTGGGAGGCAGACATTGTCTGTTCAGCACCAGTCTCTCTTTTCTTGTATTGTAATGGGGTCAATAGTGTTTTATCACACGTTGAGATAACTGTTCCCTGTGTGTCCTGTGCTATGATTTTGCTGAGCAGGTGAAGGGGAGATCCGCTGTGAGCAGCTCAACATGATCACCAAGTGGATCCAGGAGTTCCAGGCCACCAATAGCAAGCCTGAGGAGGTGGTCGTGTTTGACATGCTTTCTGGGGATTTCAACTTCGACAACTGCTCACCTGGTACGTCTGCATCCCAAATGACACCCTATTCTCCACAGTGCACTACCTTTGGTGAGAGCCCTATGGGCCTTGGTTAAAAGTAGTACGCTATATAGGGAATAGGGTGTCGTTTTTGGACAAATTTCTGTTTACATGTAGAGTACATTGGCTCTGCATGCAGTTTGTCTTGAGAAACAATGTTTACAAGTGCCTGGTCAAAATTGTATAGATGGGTGTCTATGTGGGCTTGATGTCATGCAACAGTTTTCAACATTGTTCCATGTTTTTGTGTGTTTTGTCCTTGGACTGTCCAGTTGACAGCCTAGAACAGAAGCACAGTCTGTTTGAGGAGTACAGAGACCCCTGCCGGGTCGGGCCTGGCCAGGAGAAGCCCTGGGTCATTGGTGAGTTGGACTGTTGCACTATTTCTTGATGTGCTCATTTATGTGACATGAATATAATGTTTTTAACCACTTGTATAGTCAGTCCCCTGTACAATCCCCAGCCCACGTTGAAGTATATTGTCTGTTGTTTTATGTCTTGTAAGGAGTTTAGTTTTTTTTTAACCAAGGCACATTTCTGTGGAAACAGACAATAACATGTTTTGTTATGTTATATTGTTCAGGCACTTTGCTGGAACAGCCTACTCTGTATCATGAGGATGTAAGGACCCCAGAGAATCTTCAAAGGTATGCTATCCCTCAGACTGCATTTACTGAATGTAGTCAATGGGCCCTGGTCAAAACAAGGTAGTGCACTACACCACATAGTGAATAAGGTGTCATTTGGGACATGTGCTAAGTTCCTCTGATCCCATCTCTGTCTCTGTAGGACCCTGGAGAGAGAGGAGGTGAGGAAGCAGTACATCTCCTCTCCTGTGGCCCTGGACGGCTGTCCCCTGGTCTACCCTGAGTTGGGTCAGCCCTGGGTGGGGCGCCGCATCGACTACATCCTCTACAGAGAGAGCTCCATCTCCAAGCACTGCCAAACTGTACGTGTTTCCATACATTTCCCCCTCTCTGGTTAGCTAGCTAGGTTAGCTAACATGAGCTAGCTATCAGATACCTGCATTCTCATTTAGCTGTATAGAGGAGTCCACTTCCTTCATGTTCTCCTCTCCCCACTCTTGACTTCCACCTGTATTATTGAAATGATAGCTTGGAACACCACGAGGATGTGTTCTAGGAAATGTGTCTGGCTGCAGTCATCACAACAACATGTGTGCCTATTCATTCTGTTTTGATTGCAACCTTTTCTCCTGTCTTTCTTTGCCCTGTAGGAAATCGAGGAGTTCACCTTTGTGACCCAGCTTGCTGGCCTCACCGACCACATTCCAGTGGGCCTGAGGCTCAACGTGATCCTTGACTCAGACAATGCCCAGTCCGAAGAGTGACAACCCAAGCCTGAAATCCTTTGGGGAGAAGGGAAAGACATGTGCTTCATCCCAAATGGCACCCTATTCCCTATATAGTGCACTACTTTTGACCAGAGCCCTATGGGTGCCATTTGGGATGCAGTCATCCACTATGCACCACACACACCACACGGGTACAACAATAACTTTACTTTGGTCCGTTCATTTTCACAGCAACAATTACAATGAAAATGCCTAGGGGTTATGGTGGGGGTGAGCTGGCCTGCATCCTCAGTCAGAGAGATTGGATGTGCTTCCCAAATGGCACCCTATTCCCTATATAGTGCACTACTTTTGACCAGAGCCCAATGGGAAATAGGGTACAATTTTGGACAGTACCATTGTCTGGTAGCTGCTGGATTAAAACCAATATTGATTTGCTGATGCTGTGTACAGAGACCAAATCTAAGCTGAGTAATAACATGACTCACTGAGTTATATATCCATGTGGGCCTTTTCAGGTCAGGGGCATTGATAACTCATTTTTATACAGTCACAATCTTACTTTTGGTAAATTGTTGGTACTGAAAGTAATATTTTATATTTTTTCACTCTGATTTCATGATAATGACAGTCGAAAATAAATTATCTCACTGAAATGCACAAACTGTTTGTCTCTTACTGCCTAGAATGGTGGTTAAAATATTTGAAGAATATTTGCTGGGTGGTGATACTATGATGAAACCAAGAACAGTAACACATAATTTCATAAATATGGATACATTCTGAAACCCTTATAAGCAGTTGACTGTATGGGTTTAGAGCGATTAAATATAAATATCATTTTCATAGCTAAAACGAGCAATAGTCTTTGGCTGTCTTTGATTTGCTACTTCACAAAGTCTCACTCCTGTACACTAAGCGGTGATAAAGCGCATCCAGGAGGGGTACTGTACGGAATGAGGCGTAAACAGCGAAGAAACCACCTGAACCAATCAGAGTCCTGGAATCAGAAACATTTCCTGTTTCTAGACAGTCCTTGGAAAAACAAACCAAAAACACATGCGTGTTGAATGCAATGACACGATCGCTAAATCATGTGTGTACTAAATTGTTCTAGGCAATTTCTCTCTCAGATACTTTCACATAATGTTCTTCGAGGGTATACCGGTGTCGTTAGAGGTACGTGTTTAATTTCAAAAGCGCGGCGCAGCACAGGGTTTTTGTATCCACGTTACACTTGTCTTGCCTCTCAGCAATTGCATCCACATCTCTCTGAATTTCACAACGGTATTAAAAGATATTACGCCGATTTACATAGTGAAGAGAATGTTTCAAAGTTGAACAGCCCTGGCAAGCTTCTGGCACAACAAGATGCATATGAGATGGAGAGTGACTCAAGTCAAAGTAAGTAGAGCTAAAATTGAATAAATCAGACAACTAAGTTAGTTAGCTAGTAGTGTGAGTAACGTTACATAGATATAAGGCACCTAATGCAATTACAAAGGCATACTATCTGATCTAGCTAAGCGCCGTACCTGCCTCTTCATGTTAAAGTTCATTATGTATTTTTTCTTTTCGGAAGGGCAGGGCTGTGCATGGCACTTTTCTGTAGACCAATTCTAAAGCTTCATATAGGGGTTAGCTGGCTGAGTTTACTCACCTCCACAATATATACACCCGTATGGAAGATATCCATATTACAGGGATTTAAACTACAGCTAAGTATAGGGTATGCCTAACCTGGGTGCCAGTCTGTTGGTGCCGTCATGCCAACTCCTTGTCACTCGAACATGCTTGGTATGACATTGAGTGACAGGGAGCTGGAATGATGTCACAACCAGACTGGCACCCAGGCTAGTGTATGACGTATGAACACACTGAATGACTGTTTAATGTGATGATCCTCCCTCTCTCCTTGCTGCAGGAAACCCTCAGGAGGACTTTAACATCGACGTGTTGGTGTCCCTTCTCCGCCAGGAGAATGCAGCAGACATCTGTGTCATCAAGGTGCCTGAGGACATCAAGTACACAGACTACTTCATCGTTGTCAGCGGGTCCTCCCCAAGGCACCTCCGTGCCATGGCGCTCTATGCCATTAAAGTGGTAATTCATTTATTGGATCAATTGTAAGGTTGCAAAATTCCGGTAACTTTCCCTAAATTCCCAGGTTTTCCGGATATCCTGGTAGGAAGATTAGCAGAATCAGAAGGGAATAAGTAGGAAACCTGGAATTTTGCAACTCCATTTGGACCATTTGGGTAATGGTGCTGCTGGTCAAAGCTGTGCAGCAAATGTAATGTACATTGACACCACTGTGTTGTTGTAATACTACATGTTTCATATTTTGGCAGTACAAATATATGAAGAAAGATGGGGACCCACATGCGAAGATTGAGGGAAAGGATGCAGACGACTGGATGTGCATTGACTTCGGTATGTTTTATGATCTGCTCCTGGCTGTGGATTATAGTACAGTAGAATGATCTGCTCCTGGCTGTGGATTATAGTACAGTAGTATGATCTGCTCCTGGCTGTGTATTATAGTGCAGTAGGATGATCTGCTCCTGGCTGTGTATTATAGTGCAGTAGAATGATCTGCTCCTGGCTGTGGATTATAGTACAGTAGAATGATCTGCTCCTGGCTGTGTATTATAGTACAGTAGAATGATCTGCTCCTGGCTGTGGATTATAGTACAGTAGTATGATCTGCTCCTGGCTGTGTATTATAGTGCAGTAGAATGATCTGCTCCTGGCTGTGTATTATAGTGCAGTAGGATGATCTGCTCCTGGCTGTTGGATTATGCGGAATTGCTCCTGGCTGTGTATTATAGTGCAGTAGAATGATCTGCTCCTGGCTGTGGATTATAGTACAGTAGAATGATCTGCTCCTGGCTGTGGATTATAGTACAGTAGTATGATCTGCTCCTGGCTGTGGTATTATAGTGCAGTAGGATGATCTGCTCCTGGCTGTGGATTATAGTGCAGTAGGATGATCTGCTCCTGGCTGTGGATTATAGTGCAGTAGGATGATCTGCTCCTGGCTGTGGATTATAGTGCAGTAGGATGATCTGCTCCTGGCTGTGGATTATAGTGCTGTAGGATGATCTGCTCCTGGCTGTGGATTATAGTGCAGTAGGATGATCTGCTCCTGGCTGTGGATTATAGTGCTGTAGGATGATCTGCTCCTGGCTGTGTATTATAGTGCAGTAGGATGATCTGCTCCTGGCTGTGGATTATAGTGCTGTAGGATGATCTGCTCCTGGCTGTGTATTATAGTGCAGTAGGATGATCTGCTCCTGGCTGTGTATTATAGTGCTGTAGGATGATCTGCTCCTGGCTGTGTATTATAGTGCAGTAGGATGATCTGCTCCTGGCGCTGGATTATAGTGCTGTAGGATGATCTGCTCCTGGCTGTGTATTATAGTGCAGTAGGATGATCTGCTCCTGGCTGTGTATTATAGTGCTGTAGGATGATCTGCTCCTGGCTGTGTATTATAGTGCAGTAGGATGATCTGCTCCTGGCGCTGGATTATAGTGCATGTAGATTAGAATAATTTACTGAAATATCACACTGATGGTCTCTACAAATATTACACTGATATATTTTCTCTGGATATGTGTTTAATAAGGTAAGGTTATTACATTTATGTGAAAATGTCAATTTGTTACTTGCTACTCCTCTCTCTCTCTCTCTCTCTCTCTCTCTGTGTCTCTCTCTCTCGCTCTGTCTCTCCTTCCCTCTGAGTAGGAAGCATGGTGGTCCACTTCATGCTACCAGAGACCAGAGAGGTGTATGAACTGGAGAAGCTGTGGACACTACGTTCTCTTGATGAACAGCTGAGCTCCATCCCTGTTGAGACGCTCCCAGAGGACTACATATTTGGAGCCAATGTCAATGTCACCATGTGACTCAACAATTAAACAACTGTTGAGACTGGAGTGTTATTTATTCAGAAGAAGCGACACTGAGGGTGCTTCCTAAATGGCACCATTTTCCTTTTATAGTGCACTACTTTTGAACAGAGTCCTATGGGCCCTGGTCAAAAGTAGTGCACTATGTAGGGAATAGCAATGTACCATTTGGGACATATGCTAAATGTTGAAAACTGCTGTTGTTACTGGTTGAATTCAGCCTGTAAGTTGAAGTTGTCCTCCAAGATTTGATCTTTGTTACCATTATAAACCAGTCTGCTATGGAGACTAGATGACACAATAAGAAGTATCTTACAATCATGGTTGTTAATGTTGGCACTGGAATGTATCTATGGGTTTTAGGGGTTTAGGGTGTTTTTTTTGTGTGTGTTGAGATGTATTGATGCAATGGGGGAGGGGAGCATTTCATCCGAAGACTGAATTGTATTAAAGAATATAAGTCATTGTATTGTTCATGATGACTCCTGGCTGGCCACACATTATTACATTCAGTAGATGGCAACAGTGACGTAAACTGATGCAGAGCTTGATATATAAACAACAGAACAATTGTTGTTAGCTAAAGTCAGTGTATAAAGCTAAACAAAATATTGTCTCATGCAGCTCCTTGTAATTTTTTTTTTTTACAACAAACTTTAATGTTGAACAACAAACATACCTTTATTTATACATTATGTACCGTACCATATTCAACTATTATAAAGTTTATAATAGTAATAAGGCACCTCTGGGATTTGTGGAAAATGGTTAATATACCACGGCTAAGGGCTGTAGCCAGGCACTCCGCGTTGCGTCGGGTTTAAGAACAGCCCATAGCCATGTTATATTGGCCATATACCACACCACCTCGTGCATTATTGTTTAAATGTGTAGTACACATTATTTACACCTGCTAAGAGACCCACTGTAGAGTATTACAGAAAAAGTTTCCCTTCACGCGCGCGCCCGTTTTTGCATAAACCGCTTGACCTCAACATGAATTTTCTCAACGTGCGTACGTTTTTCATTTTCTGAAGACAAATATCAAGATCCAAACAGGTGAGATGATTCGGTAGGCCTACTGTAAATTAAATTATATTTTTGTCTGTTTCCACGGTAACTTCATGGACAACATCTGTTTTTTAGAAGAAAAAAATTATCCAGAAACATGAATTTATAAATCGATAGATTTCACTTTGGCCTAGCGTAGCCATGCATGCTAGCGCATGATCATGTTATGTTTTGTACGTCACAGCCAATCAACCTATAAACATGGAGCAATGCACGATGGACCGTGAGAATAGTGAGTATTTTTGTCCTCTACATATTTCTATAACTATCCACTTAATTATAAAAAATATCCATCCCGTATTAATACTGATTTCATTTAATTGTAGTGGAGCTTGTTGGTGTTACCCACGTTTTGGATGCCATCACGTTTTGGGCACAGGTAGTTAAGCTACACGTGGCACATCTCACTGTTGAAGTAATTAGAACTTTGGTTGAAAATTTCACCTGTTGATTGATTGATTTGATTTACACGAACACCCAAGAAATGTATATACAGTATACCCACATAGCTCTTTGTTTTGTGTTGTAGAATGTCAATGAATATCAAGCCATTGAAAAAATGAACAATGCCTTGGCAGACAAATGCCCAACAGCCCAAAGGTTACTTGGAAGTCCCAATCCTCAGAAGGTAAAGGAAGGTAGACGCTAAACATGGAGAGATGGAGAAGAGTGAGACTATTAGCATTGGATTTATACATTGCATCCATCTTGTGATTCCATCTAGATTTATGGGACAGTCTTCTCTGAGGATAGCTGTTGGTACAGGTGCAAGGTCCTGCAGCAGACTGAGGATGTGAGTCAATGAGTGTCTGGATGCTTCCCACATGGCACCTTATTCCCTATATAGTACACTACTTTTGACCAGAGCCCTATGGGTCATTTGGGACGTGCTGATCCTCTCGCTGTCTGGAAAAGCCTACAGTACATGATGTGAGGGGGCTTATCAGAATACCTTCATTCTGACACATCAAACATGATCTGTCTGTATCCACCTGAGGCTGTGCTGATGAGATCCTGGTTTGGAAGTTAAGTGGTTGGACAGGTAGTAGATTTAGACTGATTTGGAATTGCAGCTGGCATGTAACCCCCCAGGCCTTAGCACTGCAGGCTGTTGTGCTGACTGATGTCAGGAGACTGTTGTGCTGACCGATGTGAGAAGACTGTGGTGCGGACTGACGTGAGGAGGCTGTGGTGCTGACTGACGTGAGGAGACAGTTGTGCTGACTGACGTGAGGAGGCTGTGGTGCTGACTGACTTGAGGAGGCTGTGGTGCTGACTGGTGTGATTGTGTATGCAACTTTAAAAGAAACATGTTTCCGAATGGTACCCTATTCCCTATAGGGCACTACTTTTGACCAAATCCCTATGGGCCCTGGTCCAAGGTAGTAGACTATATATGGAATAGGATGTCATTTGGGACGCCACCTATGACATTCCGATCTCCGTCTTGTGTCCAGTTTCACGTGTCCTACATTGACTATGGGAACACAGAGTTTGTCAGTCGGTCAGCTCTGGTGGAGCTGCCAGAGGATCTACAGGCACCTTGTCTGGCCAAGAAGTACAAGTTCTGGGGCTTCTATGTGTCCAGTGACCAAGACTCAGCACATTTCCAGCAGGTAAGACTTGGCCTACTCTGTTCCTCTCCATGCACTGTCATTAATGTCTATGTGGAAATATGCCAGGTCCCCCTCGCAAAGTAGGTTTCTTATCTCAAGGGTTAGTGTTCAGTATTTGGTGTCACGTATGTGTGAATGGGCTGACACATTCTGATGTATTTTGAATACAGTCCTTCTGCTCACAAAATGTGTATTGTCGTGTTGTGCTCTTTAGGGAAAGGCCTTCCTTCAGAATCTGATCTATGGGAAGAAGGTGCGCATCCAGAAGAAGTCTGTCTGCTTCGACGGGACCATCCTGGTCCAGGCTTTTCAGGGGAACCTGGACATCGGCGAAGAGGTCCTCAACCCTCCTAGATGTCTGTTTTTATGTCCTGTAAGGAGTTTTTATGACATAAGGCACATTTTGAAAACGGACAATAAAATGCTCTTTTAGGTTTTGAAGATGAAGTTTGCCAAGTTCACCCTCCCGGAGAGTAACCGTGAGAGCCCCATGTCTGTGCGGGCCCTGCAGGAGTCCCCTTGCCTGTGGCCTCAGCGGGTGTTGGACTGGGCTGGCCCCCAGGGGGACGGGGACATGCCTGGCTCTCCAGTCTGCATGCCCAGACTACGGCCTGCTTTCCCCGACCAGAGGCCCCTGTCAATGAAGTAAGACACCTGTCTGTCTGTTCCTCCTGGGATAATGATGTAAGACACCGGTCTGTCTAGGACTGTGTTTTCGAGCTGTTCCTCTGGGATCCCCAGGACTGGAAATGTTTTGTTCCATCCCAGCACTAGCACTGCTGATTCAACTAATGAAGGCCAAGGGCTTCGTGAGTAGTTGAATCAGGTGTGCTAGCAGGGGCCCGTGCTTCCAGACTTTTCACTTTAAATGAGTAATCCTGTGGTGTGAATGGTATTGGTGGCGGGAAGTAGCTTTGGGGGTTTAACATGATAAGCTGCTGGAGTGGGGATTGACTCTTCTGTTTAGGCTGTTGATAGTTTAAACTGAGAATGTAGCCAATACAATATAATCAACATGGTGTGTGTGAGGAGAAACATGAATACAGTTACATAGCCACCTTGTTACTTTTGCAGCAAGTTTATATAAATACTATTTATAGATGTAGGGGTTGCAACAAGTTATTGGGGTTGTTTGTATTAGTGATCACTAACTGGGGTTTTCATCCTCTGACTGTCTGCATCCCAAATGGTACCCTATTACCTATATACTGCATTACCTTTGACCAGAGCCATATTACCCATATACAGTATAGGACATGGGGTCCAAAATGGCACCCCATTTCCTATATCCTATTCCCTAAATAGAGCACTACCTTTGACCAGGGCCCATGGGGGCAAAAGTAGTCCTTTATATAGGGAACAGGGTGGAGCAGCCTTGTGTTTTACCTCCTGCTCAGGGAGAAGAGCAAGGCCACAGCCCAGCATGCTGCCAACCTAGTGAAGAAGAAGGACCAGGAGCTGGTGGAGGACAACCAGAGGCTGACGGCAGAACGAGATGCCCAACAACAGAACAACCAGCGCAGGGAGGACCAGCTGAGAGACAGCCTCTCAGAGCTCCAGGTTGGAGAGACATACACTCACACACACATACACACGGCAAGCTTTCCAGGACATTGGTTATGTATGAGTATCGTCTTGTGTTGTCGTAATTTCAGAAGTTGAAAGAGGAGACCGCGAATTATGCCAAAGAGGCAGAGAGATGGAAGGCAGAGAGGAACACACTCCAGAACCAATCAGAGCAGCTGGAGAAACACCTGCAAGATGCCAAACAGGAAGTGCAGGTGAGACTGGTGTCGTAGGGAGCAGATGTCTACTAGTCAATGGGCCCTGAGCACCTGCTCACATTCAAACCTCACCACAGCACATTAACGAGTCAACGTTCAACCCTCACCACAGCACATTAACGAGTCAACGTTCAACCCTCACCACAGCACATTAACGAGTCAACGTTCAACCCTCACCACAGTACATTGAGTCAACGTTCAACCCTCAGCACACCTAATCTATGGATTTCACATGACTGGAAATACAGATATGCATTTGTTGGTAACAGATACCTTTAAAAAAAGGTAGGGGTGTGGTGGATCAGAAAACCAGTCAGTATCTGGTGTGACCACCATTTGCCTCATGCAGCACGACACAGCTCCTTCGCATAGAGTTGATCAGGCTGTTGATTGTGGCCTGTGGAATGATGTCCCACTCCTCTTCAATGGCTGTGCGAAGTTGCTGGATATTGGCGGGAACTAGAACACGCTGTCGTACACGTTGATCCAGATCATCCCACACATGCTCAATGGGTGACATGTCTGGTAAGTATGAGGCCATGGAAGAACTGGGACATTTTTAGCTTCCAGGAATTGTGTACAGATCCTTGCAACATGGGGCCGTGCATTATCATGCTGAAACATGAGGTGATGGCGGCAGATGAATGGCACGACAATGGGCCTCAGGATCTCGTCACGGTATCTCTGTGTCTTCAAATTGCCATAGATAAAATGCAATTGTGTTCGTTGTCCGTAGCTTATGCCTGCCACAATGGGCACTCTGTTCACAATGTTGATATCAGCAAACCGCTCACTCACACGACACCATGTGCCCGGTACAGTTGAAACCTGGATTAATCCGTGAAGCGCACACTTCTCCAGCATGCCAGTGGCCATCGAAGGTGAGCATTTGCCCACTGAAGTCGGTTACGACACCGAACTGGTCAGGTCGAGACCCTTGGTGAGGATGACGAGCACGCATATGAGCTTCCCTGAGACTGTTTCTGACAGTTAGTGCAGAAATTCTTCGGTTGTGCAAACCCACAGTTTCATCAGGTGAGGAAGCCGGATGTGGAGGTCCTGGGCTGGCATGGTTACACGAGGTCTGTGGTTGTGAGGCCGGTTGGACGTACTGCCAAATTCTCTAAAACGACGTTGGAGGCGGCTTATGGTAGAGAAATGAACATTACATTCTCTGGCAACAGCTCTGGTGGACTTTCATGCAGTCAGCATGCCAATTGCACACTCCCCCAATACTTGAGACATCTGTGGCATTGTGTTGTGTGACAAAACTGCACATTTTAGAGTGGCCTTTTATTGTCCCCAGCACAAGGTGCACCTGTATAATGATCATGCTGTTTAATCCACTTCTTGATATGCCACACCTGTCAGGTGGATGGATTATCTTGGCAAACGAGAAATGCTCACTAACAGCGACGTAAACAAATTTGTGCACAGAATCTGAGAGAAATAAGCTTTTTGTGTGTATGGAAAATTTCTGGGATCTTTTTATTTCAACTCATGAAACATGGGACCAACACTTTACATGTTGCGTTTATATTTTTGTTCAGTATATAATGCACATGTTTGACTTTGTGCTCAACTATGTTTTTTGTTGTTGGCAGGGTCGTAAGTGTGGAAGGGACATGGTAATGCAGGAATGAGGTTTTAAGGGGATAGACATGGGCCCGGTTTCCCAAAAGCATCTTAATGCTAAGTTGATCGTTAGAACCTTCTTAGGAACATTGTTAAATCTCTGAGCTGTTTCCCAAAACCATTGTTAGTAAAGTTGCACTTGAAAACTCACTTTATAGAACAGCTAATTGCGTGGTTAGATTATTCTTTGCCCTTCCCCGTCACTTTATATACAGAAGATCTCCACTAAACACATAATCAAGCAGTTTATCTGTCTCTCTGTGACCGCTGATAACTTGGGAACGAAGTTGACTACAAATACAAAGTTGCCAATGTCTTTGCAATTGAACAAGCGAAAGATAAAAATATGCTTAAAATGAAAACCGAGATGACTGCATTAAAATAAATGCAGTAAGCTGATAAATTTCAATCATATACTGAAATAAACGTAATGTTCAGTCAATTGAGTTCTGTTTGTAGGCTACATGGTCTTTCATTTTTGCCTCAATATATTTAATGTGTAACAACGTGCGCAATGATGCGCCAAATGAATCTGCGATTGAGTTATGGAATAAGCCACCTCAATATTTGCAGCCATTAGGTGATAATATCTCTAAGAGCTGATCTATCATCAGGATTGTAGAATAATTCTGTTAAGGTAAGATTTGAATGGAGAATAGCTGATCACCCACTGGGCAGAGACGTCAGTTCAAAGTCTAGTTTTGATTTACATTTGGTTGAGTTGTCAACTAACCGTGAATTCAACATGAAATCCACAACAAATGTCACCATGTCATTGGATTTAGGTTAAATGTTTGAAAAAAAGACTGAATGCCCTTACATTGATGACTTTTTGGAAATCTAATCTAATTTCCATGTTTATTCAACTTCTTCACATTGATTTTTCTTTGGGTTGAAATGATGTAGAAACAATGTTGATTCAACCATTGGGCAGAGAGCAGCCTTTCTTTCGATCCTATCAGTATCAACACATGCTCCAACGCACTCGTTCTGCGTGGTGTTTTGGGAAACGCATGTAACGTCTGCGGCCGTTGCAGGAAAGATGCATCGTTAAAACACTTGTAAACACTTGTAAGCCTAAGTTCCATCACTATGGGGAAGCCGGGCCTTAGCATGAATGTTATGAAAGACTGAAGGAACGTGAAGGTAGATAATGGCTAATGTCCTCATTAGCGGCATAAACAATGTAGCCAGTGTCTTGTGGATTTATTCCTCGTGTCACCATTTCAATGTTTTATTTAAAATTAAAATAATGTTTCTTTAACTCTGTATTGTTGGAAAAGGATCCGTAAGTAAGCATTTCACTGTCAGTCTACACCTGTTGTTTCCAAAGCATGGGACAAATACTATTTGATTTGTGCTACTGTGTGTGTCTTTGTTCTACTGTGGTGTTTTGTAATGCTTCTCCCTGTGTTTTAGGCTATAAGGGGAGAGTTAAAGAAGAAGGAGAATCAAGTGGATAAGCTCCTGGACTCGGTGGTGGCGGAACAGTTCTGTCGACTGGCTGAGAGAGTCGATTCTCTGAGAGGATTAAGGTACTGCGATGGTTGCAAATGGCGCCCTATATAGTGCACTCTGGTCAAAAGTAGTGCACTATATGGGAATGAGGTGCCATTTGGGATGCAACCTGATGATGCAATGCCATTTTCGGACTTTTTGCCCACACCTCTCGAATAGGGATTTTTTGATGATACAATAACGAAAATGAAGTAACTAAATGTTTTTTAACTTTCTTTTTTTATAATTCAACTTTTCACATTGAGCTACCCTTACTTTCTTTTGATTGCATTATTGTGGTTTCATTTCTACTGGACAGAGAGAGAAACCCAGGTAACACGGATAGTGACAGCCTTACGGAGTCTATCAACGTTGTCATAAACAACAGCATCTCTGCTCCGGTTGCCATGGAGAAGCTCGAGTCGGCATGGAGAGACTACAGCCTGGCTCAGGAGAAACTCAAGGCCTGTCAGAGGGTCAGTCTGCATCCTGCTGTTAAAGGATCCGTCCCAAATGGCACCCTATGCCCTATTTAGTGCACTACTTTTGACCAGGGCCCATAGTGGTCTGGTCGGAAGTAGTGCACTAAATCTGGAATAGGGTGCCATTTGGGACACAACCAATGACACGTCTCTTCAGATCAGAATACAGTTTGTCATCAGTGAAATGACCATGTTTTGGCGTCCATTTTGCAGGAGCAGCTTGGGGATCTGATAGACAAGCGGAATAAGGTGCGAGGTGTTCTGGCTGCCGCGGTGGAGTCCTTCCTTCAGGAGGCTAAGTGTTTGCCAGTCAGACAACGCATGGACAAACTGGAGGTACTGAAGATGAAAACTCTGATGCTGTCATCTGAATACTTTTTCATTCAAAATATTTGGATTGGGGTTATATCAAGGCTATCAGCTGAACATGCTCTGCTGCATTAACAGCTAAGAATGTGCCCAAA